AATATAAACATGAAAATCTTTAAAGACAAAATGTTTGCTTAATTCCACCTGGGTACCAATGTTTATGTTTAAAGCAAATGTTATGATTTTATTAGCAAGAAACAATTTTAGTATACAATGATGTATTTTTTTCTACTAATAAAAGATGAGAGATAATGTTCATGGCAGTGATTCTAGGAATTATTTGCTCTTGTTCCTTTTCTTTCCTGTTGGCAAAATGCAGTCTTTACAATTTGCTGCATTTTCTGTTTTCAGAATTGGGGGTTTAATGTATAAGGTTTAGGGGCTACATAGCACCATGAGACAACGTCTTCTTTAGCTCTCAGCCCTTGCTTGGAAGGAATTCCAGAACAATGACTCTTCCTCATATCTGAATTGCTGTTGATTCGAGTTTATTTTCCTAAAAGCTCTTCCAATGAGTTTCCCTTAGATTTAGTTGCAATTCCAAAATGACTACTTGATCTTTATACCCTTCAGGAGGATTGTCTTAGGGAAGCCTGAGGGCTTTAGTGGCCCCTGGGAGGAAAAGGCAATGGCCTGCCAACTAGTGTCCTTGTGTAGGTGTCTTTCTGCTCTCAGCACCTGCCTGTTACTTAAGAACTTAACTCTTTAAATTGTAACTGAGGGAATGGAAGACATTGAGGAAAGGCAAGATATTAAAAAGCAGGTTAGAGATAAAATAAGACTTTGGCACAGAATGACCCAGATGCAAATACAGCTGTCAAAACTTTAGGAAATAAATTTTTCTGAACCTAAGTTACCTTATCTTTAAAATGGTTATGATAATAATAGCATCTGCTTCCTCAGTTGTTGTGCCCATTAAATGACAAAAATAGGTTTTATGCCACATAGTCCTGTGCTGGCCACATGTGAGGGTTGTAACACATGTTGATTCTCATTTCATTTGAGTTACTATCTTAGCCCCTAGGGCATTTTGAAAAGAAATAGCTTGCAATGAAGAGGAGTGATTGCTAGGAGTGAACAGGGTTAATTAACTTTTCCCAGGAAATGTGTTCCTGAAAGGAATATATATTGATTAAGCCTTTCAAAATGGAGTCATTTTAAAATAGACTAAAGGAAGTCAGTTTGTGTCAAGTGAGTGATGGGACCCTTGTGTGTGTTGAAGTTCTTGAGACACCCCTACTTGACTTTTCACTGCCCTGTCTTCATGGTGTCAAGAGTTTAGTCTTGATAACTCTGTTTCCAACAATAGTGCAGTGAATATGGTTCAAACAGAACAGGTTACCGGTGATACCTTTCCTTGTAAAACATTTTCTCCATGCCCATAGTGTTTACCTCTAAGAAGAGAATATATGTATAAACTAATGTTTAATGACCCTAAATTCATCAGGAATTCTAGGTGGAGAAAGTAATCCACCTGGGAAACTGAAGATGTTTTCCTGGAAAAGGCTGAGGGATGGAAAAGTTTATTTTCTTTTGAAATGCTTTCATGTTTGGGGGGGGGGGGGATGGGGGGCATGGGATGGAACAAATAAATGGCGCTTAAAATAAAATATGGCTCCTTTTCCCCCCTGCCTTTCCATATAGGGAACACATTACTTGTTAAGACCAAGGATACATTGGTGATGTTTGTGTCCCAAGCCCTTGGTAGTCAGCATCAATAAAGTTTATTAAATTATTATATCCTTTAAGATAGCTGAACACAGTGGTCTGTTCAGGGGTTGTGAGTGAGGGGGTTTAAGGCATATGAATTTTAGCAGGATGACTAAAAGTTCACGGAGGTCAGGGAATAGGTTGGCTGTATATACTGTCACCTCCTTAGAGCTTAGCAGGGTACCTAACATCCTGTAGGTACTCTATAAGCATTTACTATGTAAATGCATGGTGCGGGGTGGGAGGACAGTCTATCTGGAAGAGTGTTTAAAAGAGTTTTTGCGTGGAGGGTAAGCCTTGTTTTGGGGGCTTCCAAGAATTCTGACACTACCTGAGAGACCAGAAGTCAATTTCACCTCTTCACTCAGCCATTTGCAAGCGATTGTAAATCTCCTCTTTACTTGGGTCCGGGGTAGAGGTGTGTCGCTACGCCCCGCTGTGTGGACACCTCCAGCCAAGTTGCAAAGGGAAGGTGGTAGAGAGGCAAGAGCCAGCCAGCACGTGCAGCCGCCCAGGGGAGGAGGAGGCTGGGCTATCTCAGCCCTTAGTCAGCAGCTGGGCTCGGTTTTGAAACAAAAGCCAATGTCCTCCCTCGGAGTCCGCGGCCGGTCAGCTCCTAGGGGAAGAAAGCCATGCTACCCAGCCGGTTAGTGGCCCAACTTTTCCAGAGCCTGGGACAAAGGGCCAACAGATGTGCGGGAATGGGTGGGGTTTTGGGAATGGGGGACGTGGGCATAGATCTTTCAGACCCTCCCCTCGCGGCCTCTGGTTAGAAGGGCCGGGGTCTCTTCGGCTCTGCGCATGTTTGCCCCGGGTAGTCCGCTTCCGAGCCGAGGCCGCTCGGGTCTGCGCAAAGCCGAGGCACCTTTGCCACTCGCGCACCAGAGCTCAGACACACCAGGCCCTGGTTTCATGAATGAAATCCAATCGTGTGGATATAAATAGCCTCGAAGGCTGCTAACGTCACAGTGCGAGCTGCGGCCGCCACCGCGTCGGAGCTAGGTGCCGGGCTCTCGGTTCCGCCCGGCTGCACCGCCTGGGAGCGGGGTGGGGACAGGAGAAGGGGAGGGCTAACGGTGGAAAGGGGCGAGCCCCTCTCGCCCCGGACCGGGAAGAGCGGCAGCGGCTGGGCGAGCCGGCGAGGCGAGGCAGGCGAGACAAGACAGTGCCATGCTGCCTTTGTGCAAAGTTGGGCGGCGGGCGGCGCGCCGCGCGCAGGGGCCGCGCACACCCGCGACCGCGCGCAGCCGTGGCTGCTGCTGAGTGGCGGGGCCCCCCGCTTCCCCCCTGGCCCTTGAAGGCGGAGAGAGCTCGCGTCTCGCTCGGCTTCAGGGTAGGTTCTGTGTCGTGAGTGCGCTACGGTATGAAACTTCTCCGAACAGCAGCCGCGGAGCCCCCACCACCCTGGCTCCCGCGGGTGGCAGGTGGGGGCTCCTGGGGCCGTGCCAAGCGGCCAGCAGCACCCCGAGAGTGAGTTGTGGGACAAAACTGCTGTAGGGGCCGCCCTCGCCTCTCTGGGAGGCCGGGTACCTTCCCATCAGAGGCAAGCAGAAGAGATTTCTAGGAGTGCCCGCCCAGCCGCGCCCCTAACTTGGAGCTGAGAAAATGTACAACGGCACCCTTAGCAGGCTGGCTGCGCCGGGAGGGGGTGGTGCCGCGCCTACAAGAAAGCTCTTTTTCTTCGAAGGACAGTGGTGGGGAACGGGAGGACCTAGAAAGGCTGATACGCTGGCCCTTTTGGCACTTGCACCCCTTGAGAGTTGACTGGAGCCCACATTTGGCGCTCCCTCCCTTCCATCCCAAACCCCGTGTCTATAGAGTCTGTTTTGAGTTGCTGTGACAACGGTAGGTGCTGCCATGAGGGGCTTGCACACACCTTACCTTGAATCTGTGTGCTCAGCTTTCGGGGAAAATACTCCCGGGGGAGAGAAGAGAAAACAATCTCCTCCCCAAAAAAGAAATGGAAGGAAAGCACAAGTGTGTAAAAATGTATCATTAGATCCTACAGTTAGCTGTGTCGTTTCCATCCCCAGCAGTATCAAACATCTCAACTGAGGAGCAATGTCAATATTTAGACTTGGACAAGCCAGAAAGTTAGAAGAGAGCGCCAAGCGCAGGGTTTTGACTTGGCTTTGCACGTCAGCACACAAGCTGTGCCTCTGGAGCTGACTGTACACATTTGCTGGGGGAAAAATGCATGAAAGTTGATATATACACAGAAGCATCAAGATCTCGGAAACTCTAGGAAGTTAAGAAAAGTTTCCCTCACTTTGAACTCCTCCAACCTATGCTGTTCTGGGAGCCCTGTTGAACTTTAGCCAGATGCTCAGCTTGAGGTTTCATTGGTTTGGGGCCACCCCACCCCGAACTGGGGCTGTGCTGCATATTCTACAGGAAACATTCTAAACTGCAAAAGTAATACTAAGTTATTAGTGATTTTCTTCTTTGTATGAGTCCTGTCATTATCATCAGATAGTAAAAAGTCAATAGGCCGTTAAACTGGTTTACAAACTCTATTTAGAAATTTGCATTTCCTTTTCAATAAGCTTTTAGATGCTTAGAGAGCCAGTGGATACTAGAAAATAAACACAAGCTCTTTGCAGCATAAATAGCATCTGCAAACTTGCTCCACAGGTAGAGTGGGCAGTAAATTGTTATATTAAACTAGGTTTCCTGGGAGATTCCTGGATCATATGTGGTCATATTAGTTCAACCAGTCAATCTCATTATGGAAGGCTTTGAAAAGTTATTGGGAAGCAATAAAATCATGGTCAATATTCTTCTAAACTTGCTTATTACTGTTAGTTGCCCAGCTTCTGAAGGTAGTGTAAATATTAAGTACACCTGGCAGTGTGTGATCACAGAGATAGGAATAGAAATATACATAACAGATTGATGTTATTGAAATAATAATGCAATTTATTAATTATACAAATATAATAAGAAAAAACAGAATTGCTTTTGTTGGCATTTTGTGTGCTCAGTTATGCATATCACAAATTCAGTGATTATTCTCTTTATTCTGACATTCTGGACTTTAGTTGTGATTATGTTGTCTAAAAATTCTATTTTGGAGGAATAGCATGCCCACTTCTATAACTTGTGTATTGTAAACTGCCTATAAAGTTTTCATTGTTCCCATCCATGAGTTTGTGGCCAAATGCTTTTTTTTTCTTTAATCATTCCAAAATGCTCAGAAATGTATTTTCACAAATGCTACAAAATGTTACCCTAGCTATTTCAAGATATATTTGACCCACAGAAATGCCACTTCTACACTGGCACTTAGCAGAAGTAAAGTGGATTCTACCCTTTCTTGGGGAGAAGGGCAAACAACTGTGTTCCTGACAGTAAGATTTATAAAAATATTTCTCTCTTTTGTGCAGGTAAGTCCAGCTGAGAGCAGGGTGTTCTCTTCTTCACTTCCAGCAAGCCAGGTCAGTGTCTTTGTGCAAACCCATGACCACAGATAGACTGATGACATCCTGTGTCTTAATTCTGAACATGCATTTTAGAACAGGTTTCTTAGTCATTTGTCTTAAAAGGATTTGTTTTTGTCATTTTGTGTGCTCAGTTATGCATATCACAAGCTCAGTGATTATTCTCTTTATTCTATGAGTAAACTGGTATTAAAACAATCCTTGAATCAGTTTGTCTTTTGTAAAACTTTTTTTTTTCCACTTTGGAGATTCTGTCTGGTGCCAGACAGTTGAGACTAGGGGGATCTGGAGACTCAATAATTGAGGTTTACATCTGTCTTGATCTTAGCACTCTGGACCTGTAAAGAACTTGAAACAATAATAATTGATATTTATTTAGCATGAACTTAGACAGTGTGCTCCATTCTGTACATTTATGTTTTCATTCTGCCTTAAAAAAAAAAAATTCCCATGAAGTGAAACTACTCTCTTGACCCCAGGCTATAAGGAAGGAGTTGGAAGTTCTATAGTTCTACATTTAATCCCTATAGTAAATAGCACAAATAGGATTTTTTTTGAAGTTCTGTCTTAATCCAAGACATAAACTACTTCTTCAAAAATTCTTCTCTACCAGGGAAATTTTAGGCAAAGAAATATTAAGTGATTTGTCTAGGACAACTTAATAATTGCAGTTTATATAATAACACTCAATAGTCCAGCCACTGCAAAAGAATAAATTCCACTCTTTTAGGTAAAACAGTGAAAATAATATAAGTATTTATGTATACTTTCTAGCATAACTCTGTCAAAAATGAGAAGATTTTTATCATGAGATCTCTGGCTTCAATAATTTTATAAACAGATTTAAAAAGCAAAATACTAAACATTCATATATGAAAAAATAGAGAATAAATCAAGATAGAGCAAGTCAGAAGGCCAAATTGGGAGCCAGTGGTATATTTACAAAAAGTTCATCATTTTCCACTCTGTGGGATTACTTTGCAATTCCATGTATGTATGAAGAAACTTTCCAAGCACATGTTTTGTCTGAATAGATGATAAATGAGTGAAAGTTTGGGAAAAGAGAATGTAGAAATTTCAACTCGATGGGGAGAGATTATGCAGTTGTCATTAAGTTAAAATATCTCAATGACATTGTTTCAAGAGCTTCATAACAAAATCATGGACTGATTGACTCTGCACAGCATCTTTGAAAAAACACTATAATTTGGTATGATGTTTACAAGTGCTATATTCCTTCTGGAGCCTCAGTTTGTCTGAAAGATGCTACAGAAATAGATTTGGACACATAATACCAAAGTCCTGGAAATGGGCAACATCTGAAGTTTAAGCAGGATGTTTTTAGTTTGTGTCTGAATTAACAACCCTCTCTTACCCCCTTTTCCCTCCCCTTCCTTTTTTTGAGGGGTAGGTAGAATAATTTGTAACAGTTGTTAATCCTTCTTAGGGAGTTTTCTATAAAGGAGTAATAAAAAATGAAATAGGAAACAACTTACTAAAGAAAACCTTTAGATAATTATCTTTTTAATGTCCACATACCCCCAACTCAAGCTAAAAGCTCTAAAAGTGTAATTAGTCAAGAGGCATTTTTAAGCATTTAAGGGGTTGTTGAACATGTCCTCTATAGGAGCTTTGTCCTGTAAAAGTTGCTCATCATGGATTGTTAGAAAATAAATCATATTCCAAAAGAGCGCTATTATTATCAGGAAGATCCCTTTACAGGCCAACACCTGTCAACCAATATATGGTTAGTTTTGATAGTGGTGTGTCATAAAAACATCAATATAACAACTCTAAACCCATAATTTATTTAAAGCAATAAAATTATTCTGCCAATTACATAATGTTAGAGCCAAAAGAAATTTGGAGATTAGCATGGTATCTCTAATAATTATCACTTAATTAGTAATCAATCACTTGTTTCCTTTTTTGAACTTCAGAAGGCTTTGGTTAATAGGCATCACTTGCCTCTTTTAAAATGTCTAGAAACATTTGAACTCTTGCTGGCTTGAGTTGGTGAATCTACTTGTAGAAAACAGAGAAAATTTTCAAAACTTTCTTTTGGTCTATCTTTTAGAAAACAAGCAGTATAGTCTCATGATAGGAAGCACTCCCCTTTGGCTTCCCATAATCGGGTCCTTGGATTCATCTTCTTCTCCACCCAGGCTTTCTAACAGTCTTACAATGTTGAAACATATCTTGGAAAGGGATGGAATAAGAAGTCACAAAAACTGGAGATTAGCATGGTATCTCTAATAAAACTGGAGAGGGAAAAGGGCAGGAAGTAGGAGAGTATGTTAGTGATGGGGCAGGGGAGAGGAAAAGGAAAAGCGTTGAGGGGGATAGAGGCAAAAGGCAGTCCCTCGAAGTGATGGGTTGTTTACAGATAGATTATTTATTTGCATTTTATTTGTTTATTTATTTATTTGTTTATTTTCATTTATAGACAAAGTAAAGCCACCCTTTCCTCTTCCTGGTACCTTTTGTTCCTTATGCCCAGAGGGCAGAAATTAGAAAATGGGAAAATAAAGATCTTAACAGCCTCTTTCTAGGTTTTCTGGATGTTGAGGACTTTTCCTGTCTTCAAATACTCCCTCCAGCTGTGCCACCAAATATGTCCACTTGTCTCTCTTCCAGTTTTATTCACTAAAGGGTGAATTAGCATGTTTGACAAAGAAAATAAGCAATGCCAGTAGGTCTAGAAGAGAGCAATTATATTTCTCCATGATGCACCTGAGTTTATTTATTGCACAGACACAGGTTAATGGCAAGTTCCCAGTGTTAATGAGGTTATGATCTCAGGCTCCATCCCTCTATGGAGAAGTTTCCTTTGAACTGTTATCCAACCATAGGCCAAACCCTTAATGACCCCTGCAATAAATACAACCAGCACTTCTTATGCTCCTGCTGGAGACGAGACACTTCACTACATGACAGCTAATATTCGTTATCAATTCCAGTTCTATGGAAGCACAGAATGGAACTCAGAGATGTTAAGTTAAAGAGCTAATACAAAGCAGAGCTTTAAAAAAAGAAACACTTTAAACCATTTCATTCCAGATTACTCTTTCAGATGGCAAGAGTAATAGAAGTTAGATAATTATTCTTTAGGTTTTTATACCCTGAATTACCTCACAGTCTTGCCTGTATAAGTCTGCCAACTCTTCAATTCATTTCTAATATATTTTGATGCAAGTCACAGTTGTAAACAGTTAAGTCAAGGAGAGTTGAATGGTGGAGCCAGGAAAGTCCTTCAGGGTACTTGGTTCAACGTCATGTAGTTGATAAAATTCTGGCACCCGAGAGAGCCATGCAACTTGACCACTCTCAGTTAATAAGTGACACCGCCTGAACTGAACCCAGGTTTCCAAATCCCAGCCAGGGCTCAATTCCATTACATAATACTGCCTGAAAAGTGCCAAGTCTTCTAAACCCTCCAACTTAGCCAAAATTACAACTACCAAGTCCAAAATACCTCTGAAACCTAAGGCACATCCAGAAATGGGTGATAAGAGGATGCCAGCAGTATAAAGACATGTACTAAGAGAAACCTCAGTTATCTACACTAGTGTCAAGGCAGAAGAGTCCTTTACCCTCTAAAAAAAAAAATAGCACCCCAAACTCTGATTCTGTCCATGCTCTCAGTTTTTTTTTTTAATTTTTTATTGTTGGTTGTTCAAAACATTACATAGTTCTTGATATATCATATTTCACACTTTGATTCAAGTGGGTTATGAGCTCCCATTTTTACCCCGTATACAGATTGCAGAATCACATCAGTTACACATCCATTGATTTACATATTGCCATACTAGTGTCTGTTGTGTTCTGCTGCCTTTCCTATCTTCTACTATCCCCCCTCCCCTCCCCTCCCCTCCCTTCTTCTCTCTCTGCCCCCTCTACTGTCATTCATTTGTCCCCCTTGTATTATTTTTCCCTTTCCCCTCACTTCCTCTTGTATGTACTTTTGTACATACAAGGGTCTCCTTCCATTTCCATGCAATTTCCCTTCTCTCTCCCTTTCCCTCCCACCTCTCATCCCTGTTTAATGTTAATCTTCTTCTCATGCTCTTCGACCCTACTCTGTTCTTAGTTACTCTCCTTATATCAAAGAAGACATTTGGCATTTGTTTTTTAGGGATTGGCTAGCTTCACTTAGCATAATCTGCTCTAATGCCATCCATTTCCCTGCAAATTCTATGATTTTGTCATTTTTTAATGCAGAGTAATACTCCATTGTGTATAAATGCCACATTTTTTTTTATCCATTCGTCTATTGAAGGGCATCTAGGTTGGTTCCACAGTCTTGCTATTGTGAATTGTGCTGCTATGAACATCGATGTAGCAGTGTCCCTGTAGCATGCTCTTTTTAGGTCTTTAGGGAATAGACCGAGAAGGGGAATAGCTGGGTCAAATGGTGGCTCCATTCCCAGCTTTCCAAGAAATCTCCATACTGCTTTCCAAATTGGCTGCACCAATTTGCAGTCCCACCAGCAATGTACAAGTGTACCCTTTTCCCCACATCCTCGCCAGCACTTGTTGTTGTTTGACTTCATAATGGCTGCCAATCTTACTGGAGTGAGATGGTATCTTAGGGTGGTTTTGATTTGCATTTCTCTGACTGCTAGAGATGGTGAGCATTTTTTCATGTACTTGTTGATTGATTGTATGTCCTCCTCTGAGAAGTGTCTGTTCAGGTCCTTGGCCCATTTGTTGATTGGGTTGTTTGTTCTCTTATTGTCTAATTTTTTGAGTTCTTTGTATACTCTGGATATTAGGGCTCTATCTGAAGTGTGAGGAGTAAAGATTTGTTCCCAGGATGTAGGCTCCCTATTTACCTCTCTTATTGTTTCTTTTGCTGAGAAAAAAACTTTTTAGTTTGAGTAAGTCCCATTTGTTGATTCTAGTTATTAACTTTTGTGCTATGGGTGTCCTATTGAGGAATTTGGAGCCCGACCCCACAGTATGTAGATCGTAGCCAACTTTTTCTTCTATCA